AACCAAATTTTATTATTTATCAAGATAACTGTAGGTATATACCTAATGTGTTTGACTGTACTTAGAAGGTGAGGGAAGTTCTCTGCTAATAACCTTAGACCCATTTTTTATTACTGACGTCAAACATGTTTATATGAGATAAATATTTTTTAAAGGATAATTAAAATATTTTAGATTTAACAACATTCATTGGTAAGTATACAGGTACTTACCAGTTTCTTCCCTTTCAGTGAAGAAACCAATATTGATAAAGCTTGATACATAATTGTAAGTATGATTTGATAAATCTGCTTATGGAAATGTTATTTTTATTTATTGTTTAGGTCTGCATTGAAAAGGTAAAGAACGAAAAGAAAATGAAATGCATCTTAAGGAAACTAACACAATTTTTTTCAATGTCATAGTTATTTGTGTAACTAGTGCGCGAAAATAAAGTTTTTTTATGAGGCGTCTGCCGTGTTAAAATATTTATTCCAGGAAGATAAACACGTTTTGGGAACACACTTTTTTTCTTTGTATTTTAACAAAAGATAATTTGGTCTGCTCTTTATTTATGTCATCTTCCTTTTTTTAATATAGACATTATAGAGATGTGTCAGATAAAACTCTACACTCTTATCTGAGAACGGATACCTAGAGATATTGAAGTTCCTTAAACGGCATTGTTTTCAGCCTGAAGAGGGATGCTTAATTTAATTTATTGCAAATATGGCGTCGTGACGTAAACCTATGTTTTTTTAAATTACAACGTAAGTATAGGTATATTTTTTAATTTTTTTGGTAAAATAAACCTGTAGTATACTTGTCCAAAAGGTATAAGGTTATATGACCATCATAAAAGTAGTTGACCGCAAATAAACACCCCCTTTGTGTGTTTCGCACTAAGCTTACCGGTTGGCAATAAATCGTCTTCTAAACATTTCTTGCTCACATTTAACAGGGCCGGGTTTCAAAGCGAGTGGTTATTTCGGAACCCTCAGCGGCTGCAGGCAGTAAGCAAATAGTGGAGTGGTGGATTTTCATATTTAGTGAAAGCCGCTCCTGAACGAAACCACAACAGCCGGTCGAGCTGCAGTGGACACGTTATTTACGACCCTAAAATCTTTTATATTGTAAACAACTTAACTTCGACACAATGGGATGATTTTATTATGGCCATATAACCTTATAGCTCTTGGTCCACTATACCTATTTTATTTCACTCAGCTGAAATTTTTTTATGTTACTCTTAATAGATTTTTTTTTTCTTTATATCATTCCAATCATAATTTAATTATCTATCAAAATCCGTTATAAAATATAACTATATTTAGTAATTTAATAAAAGTATGATGCATAGCTGCATCATATTTGCAGTATACTAGTTAAGCTTGAAAGCTAAAAACAATGGCGTTTTGGTTACTAAATAAAATAAATAAATATACTCTGAACTGTACGCGAAAATATAAAAGGAATCGTTAACTAATTACATATCTAAACATATATTTTAAGACCACATTATAAATTAATAAAAAACGTTAAATCCTAACTAAATTTGAAACTATTAAATAATAAATACCATTCCGAAATACACTTTATTACGTACCTATGTCTAGCAGGTGATTGTGGACCAAGCCCATAATAAGTAATTGTTTTTTAAACTGATTTAAAAGCTTAAGTAAATTTTTAATACAGACATTATTTCACAAATTTATTACATACCTATTGGTATAGATTATTTTTTGCTTGTGTAATTTTTATTTATATAAAAATGTATCCGAAGTACTTTGTGTGTTTTGTCTAATTATACCTAATAAACGAAGAGTGAACCTAATATTTGCTGGTAGATTTCCTTAGAATAAGTGTTAAAATAAAAAAATCGTTAAAGTTAGGCAAGACGACGAGTTTCTTTTGTGCATTATCATATAAAGCAAATTAGGTACGTAATATTTGTGAAGGTTTCGAATTTTATTAAACTCGTGAAAATGTTACCTGAAATAAAATCGTTTTTAAGAGCAAACTGCGCTTATAACTCGGCCGTTTTCAGTGAAAACATCCACTCAGCGATTCCAAGTATGTTGTTTCTCCTCCATCTCATAAAAAGTAGATCACCACGAATCAATACTCCTCGATAGCCATTAAACTTATTCAAGACACATTTCTAGCGTACATCTCCTCTCTGCGGCGATCCCAAAAATCCAAACGATTTTTAACGAGAATAGCAATACATTAGAGACACTTTCCCAAATGAACAAGGGCAACATTAACAAACTCATTAACGGCCAAACGTTCCTTAATTATATGCCGGAATGTTCTTTAATCAACGGCACAGTAAACAAAAAGTGGATCTTCCAATTTCCATCCCAATTTAAATTGTTATTTTTAAAATTTATATCTCGGAGCGGCTAGCCGCCCAAAAATTCGGTAACAAAATTTTCAAACAAAACATATTATTAAGATTCCTCGAAAACACATAATGTACGTTTTTTAGTCACCGGCTGCCCCACCTTGACTTGCTCGAAATATTTATGAGAGGAGATAATGAGATTCTAACAGCAGCCCGACAATACCTGGTCGGCACGACAACCATCTGATTCATCAGCCACTGTCAAGACGGCCATTTTGAATAATAAAAGTAATTTTTAATGTGCCATGAATAAATTTGCTTTAATAACTTTCCGATTTGATGTACGCTGCACGAGACAAGCTTTTAATGAAAATGGGATATTTTATTGGGGCCTTTTGCCGTTTTCTCAGCGGAGTTATGCTAAACGATTAATTAGACCGCTGATTAAACTCTCTATTAGGCGTTTCATTGGTCTACTTGCCATAAAAAAATTAGGAACTCGTGATTGGGAGACAATAAACAAGCCAACAAATTTTAATGACTTTTATTATTCAAACATAACATTTTGAGGATTAATTTATGCGTTTTATGGTGGGTGTTTGAAAATAAACTTATGTAATTCCTCTCTTATGTAGGCTCATGCTGTTTACAATTTATCTGTTTTAAATCTAGTGGAAACGATTTGAACTTGGACGGAGTTTGTGTGTTGGCTGAATGGATAGATAATCATCCGACAGGATTAAAATATCCGCAGTTACTTGCGTTAATTAACTTATTTATAAAACATAGGAACGAGTTTTTTGTGAAGATTGAAGGTGGGAAGTTAATGATATAATTAAAATTTCTTAATATTTCTGGTTTCAGCTGAAAGTTACAAAAGTAGGTCATTAACAAAGAAATAGCCTGCTTTGTATTTGAAATTGAATGTTTTTATTAAATCAGCCAGTTTATACAGACTTCTCTTATTTTACAATACTAGTTCAGTTGGTTGCTTTGTTTTTATTATTTAATTAATTGATTAATGTTGGTTATTGTCGAATATATGGATGTTACGAATTTATTTAGATTTGATATGAATGAACAGTTAAAGCCGTTCTTTTTCTTGAATTTATTTTTACATCCTTTCTAATACAAAACAAATAAACAAAGTACCTATGTGTATGTGCTATAATAACTTTTCATCTCGTCCCTCTGATCCAGATTTTATGATCCGCGTATCCAAGAGAAACTTTGCATAATACCTACTCATTAATATGGAAATATTTTTTCTTTATATTAACACATATTTCTGGGGTATTAAACTTGCTTTTCTCTGTTTGTGCAATTGGTTTTTTGTAATGTTAATCTAAAAGATAATTCTTCCGGTTATCCTAGTAACACATTTCTTTAGCTTTTTCCTTTTATAAACAATTATACATACTTTCATATTCAATATCAGATTTTATTTTTTTTTGATGTGTAAATCATGAACTGCCAAGTAAAATATTATGTACCTAATCTAAATTTTGTCCTAACTTAAGTGTACTTAAAAGTATCTTATTATTTAAAAGGGAAATCTTCATTCTGGTTTTAATATAGTCTGACAAAATTACGGCGTTTGTGTATTAAGACAAATTAGGCACAAATTTACCTAGGTATAGACTTCTGTTTATTATATGAAATAGAATAACAAAATATTTTATTTACGTTTTACAGTTAAATAGATTTTTTTAAATTTAATTCCATCTTTATAATAAGTAAAAATAATAAAATTAATTGGTTGCGGTATAAAATAGTCCGGTTGATAGGTTTCTCTCAAAATCATAGCGAATAAGCTTTAGCTATGGTATTATGAACATAAAATGAGGAAATTTTTGTCAGTTTTTTAGAAATGAAAACTTAGTTCGAGGGCTACATGTTGGGCAAAAACAAGTAAATAAACAGTTTACTCAAGTTGTGCCCTTTTTATTTTTTACCACATTTTTTGAAGCTTACCTACTCACTAACACTAATTAATTTTGACTGAAACATTATCATGATAACGTTTTTTTACACCACCGTTTCTTTCAAGGAAGTACAGATTGATGGAACTAGGTACAGTTTTTAGTTTTTAAATTATACAAATAGGCACTCTAATTTTTGCAAAATTTAGTCGTCTAAATTTATGTTGCATAAAAAAATAAATTAACCTATAGAAAAAAATTAGAGGTAACAGTAGGTATTTAAGAACAATGAATGATTAAAAGTAAAAAAACTAATATTATCTAACTAATAATCTAAAGCTATGAATTAATCTTGATTTACATGCTCTTTGATATATGAATTTCTAAAACATTTTTCTGCTTATACAGATTTCATTACAATTATGAAAAATCTAGTGCTCTCCAAAACTACAAAGTCTACAAACACAATGGATATACCTAACAAAATAATAATTTTCAATATTTAAAAAATTATCCGGAAAAATTTTGTCATAATTATCAAAACTATTTTTTTTATCTCACTCCATTTGTATCAAATGTAACTTACATCTAAAGATGTTGTGATATAGGTGAGGTCTCGATAAAAGCGCAGACCCAATCATGACTTAGGGGTCTATTTTGTAATTTATCGCTCCAGAACGATCTCGCTCCCAAACGATAATCGTTAGAAGCAATCGTAAAATCAGGTTAGCGAGATTGTACAAATTTCCAATTTTATAAACACTATCGTAATCGTAAAGCTTTGAAATCGTTAGCGGAACGATGAATCAAATGTTTTTAGAATCGGTAGTATTTAAATTTGTGTAGCGTCTAGATTACGTTGTTCTCTGTTGTGACATGTGACATTTGTTTTGCTACTGATTGAAGTTTGGACAAATTTGTGAACTTATAACATGTAAGTAAACAATAATTATAAAAGAAAAACATCAAAATAATCACACTAACACGAAATTCAGTTTACAATACGTTCACGGGAGCAATGGAAAAACGTAAAAGGGCCCAGCGTATTACCCAAGAGTAACATGAGTTGTATGTGGAGGAGTTAGAAGGTAATGCAGATTTTAGGGCCCAAAAGTTCGTAGCGGACAAGCCAGATCTTTTAGAAAAGATATGGGAAGGGTTGGTAGGAAAACTAAATTCTGTGGGAGGACCACAAAAAAGTGTTCAGCAGTTCAGAGAGGTATGTGTAATTAATGAATCTCCCGAACACTCTTTTTAAAAATGTGTACTTTACTATAATTTATCGTACAACTATTAGCAATTATTCTGCTTACATCAACACTTTGGTTATGACAAAGTGAACATCTTGTTTAGTCATGACCAATCAATTATGAGAACTGAGATGTTTAATCTTTATAAATACTGTTACACAATAAACCATAACCTCTGTGTTTTTTAGTACACCAAGAATATAACATAGGGCACTCTAATTACAATGTACTGCCTGGTAAGTAAATGTCACTGTGTGTTCCAGAGATTTGTAGATTGGAAATTCAATGTTTGAAAGAAGACCAGAAATTTAAGACTATGTGAAAGAGGAACTGTTTAAAATAATTTCATTATGTTGTAAAAAGATAATAAATACATTATTGAAAATGCTGTATTATTAAATTATTTCTTGTGATATGCCATTCATGTAGTAAATTGTGTTCTTCGTATTCAAGTTCTTCATTATTATCGTTCTCCTTGTCATAGACAATATTGATCTCGTCATTTTCGATATTTCTTATGCGTAAGATTGTGTGAAACAGCACATGAGTATGTAATTTTTCCTGCAACATCTGGTGAATAATACAGAACTCTGCGGCAGTATTTCTGGAAATGTATCTCTCGCCGCTTCCCATTACAGTTGGTAGGTCTTCCTAAAGGTTTCTTCTTGAACGATCAAGGGGTCGTTACATCTCTTAAGACCCGAGACAAATTTCTGATTCTGTCTCTGCAGTAAAAAAAATATATAATAAGTTATCAACCTAATCCAAACATACATTAATTACTTACATTTACCTTCTCTACCCATATTTGCACCAAAACGTTCCTCTTCATTGTATAAATACTTTTCTAACGTGTTCTGACACTTCTAACGGTGAGCTGAAACCTATCGTTCCGGAACGATGACATTCTAACGATACGATCGCTATGTAACGAGACGATAGATGTTACAAAATCGCTATCAGTCCCAAAATCGTTATGGGAACGATTATCGTAAGTTAACGATGCTCTAACGAGATCGTTAAGAGTTACAAAATAGACCTCTTATTTAGACTTTTTGTTTATACCATTGCATTGGCATGGAAACCGCGGCTCTACTCGCTGTATTTGGCTGGAATCGGGTTACATTTGAAACAGTGACTAGCAGCAGCTAGCAGTAATTATACTACGGGAGTTCATTTTCATTCTGCACGAGTGAAACTGATTTTAAATAAAAAGAGTGAATTCAGTTGAATATTTAATAAAAAATCATCCTCTTTATATCTTTATATTTAAGTCATCCATCACATCGTGTCCCCCCATTTCAAAAGGTCCACTGCCTTGTAATAGAAACAATATTTTAGTTTTTTAAAACTACAAAAGTGATTTAATGATTAAGTCGTTTGAATATTGCACACTTGCACAGTAAGATGTGTCGATACATCGCTACGTAAAAAATTGCATTAGTATGTAGTCGAGGTTCAGTAAGAATAAAAATTCACTTAATACACTGACAATAAAGTCTTTAACATATTATTAATGGACGTATACGACGATACGATCTGCATTGAAAAACATTTGTTTACACTCAGACGGCATGTCTCATGTCCTTCCATTACTTTGAAACATTGTCTGACACATGGAATGCTTAAACATTTTCGGCTGACTGATTCACAAAGAATAAAAATTTGGAAACAACTGATTTATGGTTTGTTTACTGAAAAAATAAATAAACAGTACAGCCTTGTTTGCTGCCAAGTTTTTGCTACAAATGTATTTAAAAACTGGCACATTAACTTCTTGATAAAAAAAAAAAGTGACAGATATTAGACGGAAAATGAACAGTTTTATTTGTTTTATTTATACCCCACTAATTGAATGTGGTACTGCATTGGAATGTACTTTCAATAATTCAAAACAACTTTCAACTAAGCAACAAATTTACTAATTTAATAAAACTCTAAAACCACTTTAAATTGGATGCGGTATATTCGGATATTATTTACCTAGAATAGGTACTGGATTTAATTTGAATTAATTTAGGGCACTAGGATATGTCTATTTAATTAAAATTTATATTTTTCTATCTAAGGTAAAAACAAATATTTTACTGACCGTCGTTGTTAGATTGACTTTTAAAACTGATTCGTCAAGAATTAAATCTACAAGGCAAGGTTTAATTTCATGTTTTCGGTGTTTGTACAGCTCGTAATGTACAAAAATTTAGATTCTTCGTTTCGTTCTGCTGGTCTGTCTTTAGGTACCTATATAGTATTTTAAAGATGTAATCGCTAAAAGTATAGCACGGATTAATCTGAAATTTTAAGTTTTCTTTAAGGTTATCAAATTTCGTCTGTTCATCCTCTCCAAAAATTAATTACGTCAAAATTACTTAACATAACATTATCATTTTTCTATAATTTAATACCTCATAAGTATTTATTTTAATTTTAGGTATAGGTACAGCTAAAAAATAATATTTAACAACAAATTAACATGACAAATTGTTGATGCCATCACAAAAATTTATTGATTAAATAATATATGTAAAATAATATACACTGGGAGTGCTTTTTTAGTAATGTATAATGATATTTTCAGAATATAGGTATGTGGCAAAAGTAACATGCTTATCTTCCCCAAAATTCTGCTGACGTCAGTTTAAACTTATATTAAAGAAATTTTCACTGAAAAATTTGATCTGAGGTGCAGTACCTACGTATTACGTTTATTTGTAGTTTAGTACTAGTATTTTTATCAGTTGTTTACGGATAGATGACATTTAAAAAGAAAATATGAATCGATCTACTTATGCAACAATGTATACATTTAATATTTTTTATTTATTTATGTACTTTATACGATATACATGTATCATCATCAAGCTTCTGATGACGTCATCTGGAAGATTAACAAAATAAATAAATCAAAATATAGGTACGACCTAAGATAATAACTTTTATGGATGGTATATAGTTTTTTCACCGATTTTTGGTGATAACGAGTTTTCTAAAAATTAAAATTGCCGCGGTCCTCGATGTCTCTTTAATTATTGGGGATAGAAAAAAAGTCAAGAGACGAAAAGTTGTACGGCTCTTTGAGTAGCGTACGTTAAAATTATTTTCGACTCTACAGAGTGTTTTGTTTCGACAACTTGTTTTTTTTTTAATAGAATAGGTATTCTACTTCTATATTTTTACATATTCTTATTAACCTCTTCCTTAGCTTAGTAGCCATTGTTCAGTTTTGCAATTCCGTTGAGGCGTTGTGGAGTTATTCCTTTTTTTATTTTTTTTTAATCATGCAAGAGTACACAAAAAACTCAAAATTCAAACAGAGATACGCGGTTTCATGGTATCAATTAAATAAAATTTTAACATGTACCTAGTGTTTATAAAAAATTAAAGTTTACAATTTTGAATATCGATTTTTTTGTTTTATTCAAATAGAACACCTATATGCTTTTAATGCATTTTACTGTATTTTTTGTTTTATTTCTTACGTAACAAAAACGAAAGAGAGCAAAAAAAAACAGGAGAACATACAGTAATAAAATACATGGTGTTCCATTTGGAAAAAATGAAATATTGTTTTAATTTAATTTTTTATAACCGCCCTACATATTGAAACCAAATTTTATATCTAGCACAATAAGGCGCGCATCTTTATTTATCTCTCCAAAAAATATTGTAATCCAGATTTTGAAAATACATAATTCTATTACAGTTTTTTTGTGAAACCTAAAATATGACAAAGAAATTGGAATAACTTTAGCATCGTCGTATCGGAATTTCGAAAATAACCAATGGTTATAGGTAAAGCCTAATAACAGGCCAATCAGAATATATAAAAATATATAGGGTATTCTATTGGAAAAAACGAAGTTGTGTGTTACGCCTTAAAAACAGAACACTCTGTATAGTTTAAAATAATTTTAGTATGTGTCCTCAAATTATTGTATAACTTTAGTTTTGAAGTTTTTTCTATTTCTAATAATTATCTAATGAGAAATAGAGAAGCGCATATAGTGACTCATCCTGTAATATATTCTATTCTCATAGTCCTACAACAAAATTCCCTTCTTAAGCTTAAATAATACAAGAATGAACATTCTAGGTGGGCTTTATATTTTTTAGAAAATAACAAGTCGGTGGCCAGCGTACTTCTAATTTTTTTCAGAGATCGTTAAATTTTGTCTATCTAACTGTCTAAACTGTCTATTAGGTACATCTTTCTAGACGTTAAAGAGCAAAATTTGATTACTGGAAAAAACTGATGTTACAACAAATAAATTTGGCCATTGTGGCAGATATTTTATTTTATAATATTCAATAGTTCAATTGTTTAGTTGTTCAATAAAAACCTTAATTTTTTAATAATAATTATACTTAACTAGAATCTCTAAAATTAACAGAGAAAATGAGGCTGAATGGGTTTGATGACATCATAACATAGCTATCCTAGCCATCATATACCTATGTAACTGTTTTTGTCTTTCAGTATTGTTGCACATATTGATAATACTGTAGATGATAATGATTCTACATGCGGCAGATTTTAATTCTTCGTTAGTTCTGATTGTGGCATAAATGTAACAAACTCTAGTTTAACAAAAATGTGAAAAATTGGCTAGCAGATACTAATCTCCCAATTAAGCTTCCACAGAATACAACATTCGCGAAATCGAATACACCCGTACAACAGGTTTGGAATTTATAATTAGATATTAATCTAAGTTTTTATAGCATTTGCCGGTCTCTTTGTCGTGATGATGACATTTAAAAAAAAAAACTTTACGAACATCTCAACGCGTCACTAAATAATCATAAACTTGTCGTACGACGACGTGAAAATTTCGTTAATATTTCCAACATCTACATCATCGACGTAGGCAGATCCGACCTCGTGCAAATCCCAATAACTTCATTCCACCAAATCCGTACGATCGAACCGTTCCTCTTTGTCGCAATTGCTCATGTGGCCATTTTTATTTTCAACAACAACAACCAGCAGAACGCAACGTCTGGGCAATTCTTCTATCTCCATCGTAAACAAGATGGTATCGAATCCTGGCGTGGCATGTTTGTCCTGCGTCGGTAGGACAACGTCGGAGGCATCCAGACCAATTTAAAAGAGATACGATCCGGCGGAATTTTAATCTTATAAAATATTCGAAACCATTAATTTGAATAAAGGCAACATTAAAACATCTCAAGGTGGCGATGAATCAAGCTGGTGCAGCCGAAGGTCTCCAGCATGTTCCTCCTCGTTGCCAAGGCAACGGGAGGATCTCCGCCAATCCGCGAGCTGCAGGAGGCGGCCGCGGATGCTTTAAGACCCAGATACGCATTCTTCTTATTTCCAGCATTCCCATTACTGCGGAATCCCCTGCGATGCATCGCTCCTGCTCG